GTACTGAATTCTCAAGTCATGTAATCAGTAAGTATAAACTTTATGTTAAGCTTGTATGTCCAGTTTTAGTATTTCCGAGGACGGAAATATTTTAAGGAGGGTGGATTGTAACACCCCGAGTTTTATTAATAAAGGAAAATACTAGCTTTTAATTTTAAGCTAGCCTTTGTTCATAAATAATCATGTTCATGTTCAAGTTCAAGTTATTCAGTTAAGTTATATTCCAACTTCGACTATTAGTCGATAAATTATTCGGTTTAATTATTTCAGTAACCGAATTAGGTTCCAGATTTAATTTCGATTCATTTATTAATTAGTGAGTTCGGAATTAATAAGTCAAGTTGATGAATTATTCGAAATATTAATATTCGGATTAATCGTCCAAGTCAAGAATTCGAAATCATTATTGTTCGAATTAATTATTTTCAGTCAAGAATACCCGAAATTATTTTCGAAGTCCCATTTACGTTCGGAATAATTTTGGTAATTAAGTGTCATGCTTAGTAATTAATTAAGCATAAAGATTATGCTTAATTATTTAGTAATCATGCTTAGACATATAAATGCCGTAGCATTTTGTCTCAATTTTAAGGGAAAAAGCCGTGAGCTATTTGTGAGGAATTAAGGGGATAATTGTCTTCAATTTACTAAGCATGAGTTGTCCATTTTATTAGTGTTAATGGAGGGAAATTATCATGCAAAGTTAAGCATGAGGTGTCTTTTTATTAGGCTATATAGGATGACTAATGTTATGCTTAGATGACTAAGCATCATATTATGACATGTGTTCTTGTCTAATTAAGCCACATTTTAATTAAATCCCCCCCCCACCTCTTCACTTAGTTTCGGTCTTATATATATATGGGGTGTTAGGAGAATTTTTGCTCTTACACACCCTATTATATATGCTTAGTATAGAGAGAGTTAAGAGAGAAGTGAGAGTTTCCCTTAGTTCTTCAAGCACGCGCGAGAGTACCGCACGACGCACGCACGGGGGCGTAACCTCCGAATTATTCCGAGAGTTGGTGAAGTTCAGCCGGGCGTTTGAAGAGGTATCTTCGGCTCACTTCTTGTGATTTTATTAGTAGTATCATGTTCATCTTATATCATGTCAACCGAATTCAAGAATTTGTCTTAAATAGCTCATGGCCGTATCACTTCTATCGCGTCGAGCTTGTTCATTTTAGTTCAAAATCTCTCGAGCAATACATGTTTATTTAATCATTATAAGTCAGTTTATACTCAGTTCATTCATGTTAGTCGATTTGAGTTGTCATTTTGTTCATTGGCCTAAAGTCGTCGGTAGCGCACGTAGCGCACGCCTACAGACCATGATCGACCGTGTCATGTTATCTTTTTTTATGATCAAGTTGTCCGTGTAATTCATGTCTAAACAACTTTAAAATGGGGTAGTAAGGTCAGACTTTTATAAAATAAACAGTTAGGAAATTAATTATCAAAATGATCTTGGTTAATAAATAACCAAATAGTGGAACACCCAGAGTTTTATTAATAAAGGAAAATACTAGCTTTTAATTTTAAGCTAGCCTTTGTATAGGCCTAACGCCGAATCCGTATGCATGGAGCGCACACCTCGACATAAGTCGAGTCCTTCAAACGAAATTCAGTAAGCTTAAGAAAGGTCAGCATGTATGATCATGTCATGTTAAAATTGCGTTGAATCGTGTTGAAGTTGCCGGAAGAAAGTGCCGAACGGCCAGCAAGGGCCGGACGTATGCACGCTGCCGCACATAGCAGCTATGCGTGCCGGCAGTCAAGCTGCACGGGCTGCCAGCGTGTGCGCATGTCCATGGCAGCGGCACGTAGCCGCCCGCAACATCAGTCAGTGGTTGGCAATGCGCGTATGCACTTGCCACGTCCAGTCGAGCACGCCAGCGTGCGGTAGTACTCGCCAGCACGCAGCATCGCACACCAGTGGCCTTGGCATTGCCAGCGGGCCGCCAGAGTAGCCAGCACCGTGGGTATCACACGGCAGTGCCCGCACGGTGCCAGTCATGTCAGTCAGCGCCTGCGCGCGCCCTTTTAGTGCCCAGCTGCACGTCGTGGTGTGCGACAACACCTGACAGTGCCCAATCAGGTAGCAGCTGATGCACATAGCATTCGGCAGCACCCCAGGTCATACCCGGTGGGCCTAACTCATGACAGCCATGGCCAGGCGTACGCAGCACCCTCGGCCATGGCAAGGGCAGGCCCTGCAGTGGCCGTACCCGCACCCAGATGTCTAGCAGCCGCGCCCA